GCAGTTCTAACCGTCGCAATGTAGGCCATATAACCGTCGCAAAATCGTCATTTTCTTGTAGTGACATATAAGAATTAGGTTCAAACAAAGAATTGTGCTTGGCAACACACACCTACGCTCGACACACGCGAGGCCGTGAGCCTAGTAGGAAATCATGCTTGGTGTGATCCTCCCTACACCCAATGAGATGCATCCAGAGGACCCTTAGAGCTTTTGCGCCTTGGTGTCAATGACATTGCAAGTATTTTGGACTTTCACGCCTAACGAGACCAAGCCCACCCCTGACATGGTCGAGGCCGTGAGCATTCTAATTTACTTGTGCCCAATAAGACCAAGTTGTTGCCCGATGCGATATTAGTAAAACTTATTTTGCATAATTCACGATTTTTTTTCAAATATGTGGCTTGTAGGATTTTTGTGACACCCTCTACCCTGTATACCATAAACACATAATTAATAAAATCTGAGTAACTTAATCTTTCATTATTAAAATACCAAACGTGTTTAGATAGAGAGTACCATATCCATAACTTAAACAAATAACATAATCAACAGAAATTACAAAAGAAATAAGGCTAAGGTTTTCAAAATAATTTAATAGAAATAACATCCTAATCTAATCATATCTACGCCCTGATATCACATGTCCTATCAGAGTAAAACCCAACATTGAAGCCTAAGCTTCATCACCAATATTCTCAACCTCATGTTGATGATTACCTGTATAACAACCAAAGGAAAACAATACAAAAGAAAAGGGAGTGAGAAACATCTCACTCTAGCTCATGGTGTAGGAATACACACCGGATAGTCAACACAAACAAGACAAGTATATGTACATAGCATAAATAGATTAACAACAATATCACATCCCACTCATCCAAGACATAAAAATCACTTTAACATATATCATTAAAAATGCACATGTAATGGACATAGACTACATATTATCATGCATGTGGCGTCAGTAACACATCACATGGTGCATTACCGCTAGCAATACACGTAGAGTAGTCTAGGAGTACATGCTGGGTCACACCCTCTAAGCACTCTCACTAGAAAGACATACTACCATGGTCTAGTCGGGATAGCTAAGCCCTGCAAGATACATCTCATGCACACAATGGGCGAGACTAGGACTTACAAACCGAGCTATCCCCAAGGACTAATCCCAAAACTTTTATACAAGGGGGCCTTCCCTGGCAGTGTATTCCATATCGTACCCTTAAAAATATTTATGCAAATGATGCATGTAAATCAAGACTCTATGCATTCTCATATCACATTATCATATCTCATTATATCATATAACGTTATCATGTCATTCTGTCGTATCAAATTTTCTCACATCACATACTCATTAATTATATTCATTAGAGGATAACATTGAATAACACAAGAGATTCACATTATTGCATATCATAGATCACAAGAGAGAAGTAACACATGATTCATATTACACCAATAGAATTCATCAAACAAAGAAGGAAAGAAGCATAATAGGACAACTAGCGGTCAACCCCAGATTGGGCGCTCAGCGCAAGGCTTATAGAGAGTAATTTTAACTCTCTGGTTGAGCCATGCTCAGCGTGGGCCACGCTAAGCCTCAGGCTCACGTTTAGCCTGAGGGTTACAGACAACATTATCAACTTTTTGTCACCTTGATGCTTAGTGCAAAAAATGACGCTTAGTGTGGTTTCTACGATCATAACTCTACATATCTACATTTTTTTGCATTTTGTATCCAAATCATTGATCTCTTCATACAATCGGTAAAAATGTTCTAAATCATACGATAAACATTTAAAACAATACAATTTACTCATACAATTACATCTTCAAACAATCTTCTCTTATAACTACCAATGCATTCCCTTAGGGTTTCTCATAGGAACCCATAAAGATCTCAAATCATACAATTACAATTCTAAAATTGAAATTAATCATTCATTCAAGCAATTCATACAATTAATTACATACAAGAAGAACAATAGATGAAACAGACACAATTGAGGAAAACCCCTCATGCATGAGCATACAACAAACACAAGATTGGGGACTAATCTCACTACCTAACATACATTCCCACACCCAAAGCGAGGTTTCTCACTCTCCCTTACCTTGTTGAGCAGAAAAGATGAATGGTTAAATCTGGGGTGGTTTCCTTCTCCTTTTGGTTCTCCGAGCTCTAGAGCGTAAATGCGTACGTGAGAAAAATGTAAAATGTAAAATAAATCAGCTTTCTCTTTTTTTTTTCTTTTTAAAACTTAACCTCCCATTAACCCTTTAGTAAAAATGTAAACCATGGTTATCAAAAATAAGTTCCCTTGCCTTATTATAAATAAATAATATAACCTTTAATTATAAAACCTCACAACATATATTCATATAAAATAATTACCAATAGTTACTAAATTCAAAATATTTAATTATCACAAATATAGTAAATAATAATAAAATAAATATCGAACAACTCTTATTAATAAAAATAAAGTATCAAAATTATTAATAAAATACCTATATTATGTTTTATAAAAAATAGGGTGTTACAATTTCTACCATTTTAATCTATTAAAGGGGTTTCCATAGTCTAGTTAGTCCATGTTTTAGTCATGTTATATACAATTATTATGAATTAGCTCCAACCTAAGGGTTTAGATACATCCTTAGGGTTCCCTATAAACCCACAAGCACTCAGATTCATGATTATATACAATTCTTATAACCAACACGTCAATACACACTTCTATCATTTACAAAACATTCAATTTCATATAGGTTCACAAAAAGGATCAGGTTTAATCCTTCTCCAACATACATACACATCCCAAGGATTAGGGGGCCAATCCTGCTACCCAATAGTTACCCTACACCTTGAAGTGTGGTTCTCACTCCCCCTTTACCTTAATCAATGCTAGCTTCAAGATTCTGCTCTCCAAGTTCCACTCCGATTGCCTCTAGTTCGCTTACTTTTTCAAATCACAATGTATGGTTAGATCACATGTTAGGCAAACCTAGCATCACTAATGTATTTAAACAAAATCATAACTCCCACCCGTGTGTGTAGCTTGTTAGTAAAAAGCCTAACTAATTAACCTTACATATTTGAATTTAGAAAGATAATTAATAAATATTATCTTATCAAATCACTCAGAATATTTTAAACCCCAATTAATTAATTATAAAATATTTTATTAACCAATTTGAAAAAAATGGGATGTTACAAGAAACATATCACTGATTGAACTATTGAAAAATAAAGTCAAAGATAAAATAAATGACCTATCCATAAATTCATATAGGTCATTCTCTTTTTGTTAACTAGTTGTGTTGTTGATTAAAGTCACAAATAGTTTCATGAATCCTAGTACTTCATGGTTTGTAACTATAACATCCTATTATTTTTTTAAAATAAATAAATAAATTATTAATTACAATAATTAGAAACAAAAACATATATTTTATTAATAAAATAGAAAGGGGAAGAGATCATTAGAAATAATTAGGCTATACTTTAGGTCTAACTTGGAGTCTAATTTAAAAGGGGAAAATACTTAAGGTCGGATCATTATGCACTCATTCTAAAAATCCATAACACACATAAGGAGAATCAGAGGAAGTCATGGGGGAAAGTGCAGATTGACGACAAAAGCTACAAGAGAAAGATCACTTCTTAAGACTCGTCACTCTAGGTAGGAGGAGAAGAATTATCAAGCCTTAATAATGTATTAAAGATAAGGGTAGAAAGGTGAATCCTAAGCCTTAGGCTATCTGTTTAAGGAGAGTTTCTTGAGTATGAAATTGATTGGAATTATATTTGTATACTATGACTCATATTGGTTTGCATTGATTAAAATGATATTAAGATTGTGTGTTTTAAGATTTAGGGTTGTTATGTATGGATTTTGGGGTTTTGAGTGTATGATATAGAGATTTGGTGTGCATTGTTTGATTTTGAAAATATTAGTACCAACACATCTCAGTATTTAGATGAATGCTCTGAGATAAACCAAAAAAGAATTCATTTGTTACTTTGGAACGTAGACATTTGGGACTATATTTTAGATATAATAATTACATAAAAATGTTAAGAAACGATGAAGTTATGTTAGTCACAAGAAGAGTCTTAGGTTCTGTGTGAAATATAACATATGACACTTATAAGCATTACGAGAGCCCTTAAATGGCCGAATTAGGTTTCATGTTATTTATAAGAGTTTTATGCTTTGATGTTAGCTTTCCAATGACACTAGAATCACCCAAAAAAAGAGTTCTATAACTCAAGTTATGCTCAAATTAGTGAGCAAAGGTCAAGTTATCAGAGTTAGGCTAAAATACTATGGTTTTGTAATTTTTAAAAATAGTAGGAGATAAAATCAACTCTTAAGGTAAACATAGAAGTCATAGATAATCATCTTAGCTTCCTAATAAAACTAATATCAACTTTATATCATCGGTATAAATCTATATATCACATTTAGATCATACAATGTCATAAAAGCTCAAGATTAGAAGAGATAATTTGTGAGACTAGTAGAAAAAAGACTTTTCAAATCGGTTATTTTTTGACATTTAAAATTGATTTTCCAACCGATCTTAAAAGAGAGGATTTTAAAAATCTGACTTTTAAAATCGGTTATTAACCGATCTCAAAAGTATGCTTTTAAGATCGGTTATTAGATAATTGATCTTAAGAGTCTTATTTTTTAATAATCTTAAAAGTCATAGCGTTTACATAGAACCTTTTGAATTTTCAACTTTTATGATCGATTATGGCATAACCGATCTTAAAAGTCTAGTTTTTAAGATCGGTTATGGCTTAATCAATCTTAAAAGTGCTGATTTTTTTTTATAAATATTTTGCTTATTTTGAGAGTGCCCTAGAATAAAACCTACAAATTAATAAATACTAGGTAATTCAAATGCTTTCAATTAACTAAAATGTTCACATTTCCTATGTTGCTTCTCAATGAACCAAATTACATACAAATGGGAAGGGATGATAAATGTCAACCATATATATAATCAAAAAGTTTTAAATACATACATAAATGTGTCCTATTGCTCAATGAAACATAAGTCAGAACTAGTCAATGCAACACTATACAACATAAGTCCAAACTAGTCAACATAATGGTCAATGAAAAAAGTGGCCCATTGCTCCCTAATGGTGTTTATGTCTTCTAATGGCAATGGTGATCGATCTATAAATACATGTTAAGAAAAATTAGAACAATTAGTAATAATTCATAAAGCATATAAAATGAGAACTTAAAATAAAAACTTTCAAAATTGTAAAACTTACTTCAGCCCACCTAGATACTATTTGTGAATTAACAATAGTATGCATTGTCTTCATTACATAATATCCACACTCATAATTTCTTTTTTATTTATAAGACTACAAAAATAATATAAAATCAATTTCAATAGTAATGGTAATTCAAAACAAAACACCCTAAAAAATATTATTGTTGGGATTAAAATATCTTACTTTTGGAGAGACCCAACTCATTTTTTTCTTCAACTTTACACCCTTTAATATATGATGTCCTTCCATGGCCCTAGTGATAAAATGATATTATGTTTATAGTTTAAAATCAAATATATTGATAATCAATAATAGAAAGTGAATGCTTTTAAAAAACTTATCTAATAATTATCTGAATTCCATAGGAGGAGGTTTATGTAGAGAACAAATGCATATAGCTATATTATCCACAGGAAAAATAATTAGAAGTTGCTAATGAGCACTGTATTGAGAAACTATTCGTGATAGAGAATACTTTTTTTAAAAAAGTTTATAAACAATTATATGAAAGTAGACTTGCTCAGAAAAATAAGGGGCTAAGTAAACTTTTTTATTTGAGTGAGACATCCAATTTTGGATGTAAGCTTGTGTTTTTTCTGCCTTGTTCTCACTTTTTTGAATTGACTCAAGTTCCAATTTTGTATATGATTAAATATTTTTTTTTTGAAAAATATTCAATGTAATAATTGAAATAAAATATAAATTGTACTTTTTAGTATTCACTTGATGTTTGTGTAATTTTGGTTGCCAATATTAAAAGATTTGTAATTTTAATTCATTATTTAAATCTACATAATTGATAGTTTTAAATTAAGAATAACGTTGTTCAAGTAAAAATTAATAATGGGGTGATTCTTACACAACTAATACATAAATACTGCTATTTATTTTCAAGGAAAATTATTAAACTCTTTCCATATTTTGTATATGATTAAATATTTTTTTTGAAAGATATTCAATGTAATAACTGAAATAAAATATAAATTGTACTTTTTAGTATTCACTTGATTTTTCTGTAATTTTGGTTTCCAATATTAAAAGATTTGTAATTTTACTTCATTATTTAAATCTACATAATTGATAGTTTTAAATTTAGAATAACGTTGTTTAGGTAAAAATTGATAATGGAGTGATTCTTAAACAACTAATAAAGATTTTATAATTTTAAAATTAGAACAAGATAGAAGAAAATAACTATTAGTTATTGGTTCTTTTAAATCTGGTCAGTTTTTTTCTGTTAGCAGTTAGCTTTTAGTTGTAATGACTATAGAAGGCTTTTTTTTTTAGACAGTGACTATAAAAGGCTCTGTTGCATAGCCTTCAATAGTGAATTCCAAATTTTGATTTAGTCTTAGTGAGGAAATCTATAACTGAGTGTAGAGAGGTTGTACTAATTCAAAGAGAATATGCTTTAAGACTGTCTGGACTTTATATATATCCTTTTCAGAATTTAGTTTATTAGGATTTCAATTACCCATTTATCTAGAAGTTATTTCTAGAGTAATGTTGTGTCTTCCTATAAATCCTCTTACTATCTTATAAATAAAATATTAAATAAAAATAAATAAATTTATAATGTTTGAAAATATAACAACATTCAATATGTTTATGCCTATTATCTGTTGCCAACCTTGACATTTTAAACAAAGTAGATAAAGCTGCTCTTGTTTATCGGTTAAAGAAGGGGATTCAATATTAATTGACTTAGTAGGTTGGCTACTCTACTAGCAACGAAAACAAAAAGATTTGTTACATAAAAACAGAATTGTGGATTGGAAATAAGGTAGATGCATCTTACGTGCTAATTGTTGAGGGCCGATAAAATCGTAGACTGAATCAATTTTCCATGTCTATTCTGTCAACAAGCGGTCTAGCATAGCCTGTGACAATTTAGAGGCATGTCATGTTGAGAAATGTCAAACATAATTCCCAAAAGATGAATATGCACAAGTGCAACAACTTAATATTTTGGAACAAACCTTCTAGACCAATAGTAAATAGCACCAATTCAGCAAATTCACTAAGTTTCTTTAAGAATCCCTTCAACCCAGGGCATTCAAATACTGTAACATATTTGCCTTTTGGTTTGGCTTCTCCTTCCTTGAAAATCCAAAATGCCCAATTGAGGATATTATATTCTAGCAAATGGACAACCAATCAGATACAAATTACAAAGTAACTTACCTTGTCTATCAATACACATTCTAGCTCAAACCAACTTAAACCACCTTCAATTGCTTGAGTCCGTAGAGCAGCTGCCAAACTTGCTTTAAAATCTGTAATAATAATGCAGTTAAGTGTATAAAAGGCATGTCAAAAGATAGGAAATAACTAATACAAATTCTTCACCCATGGAAATGACTTTTAATTCTTAAACATGAGAAAAATCCTAGCTGAAAATAAATAGAATTCAATTTTTTGTAGACCTGCATAATTACTTAATGCAAAACAAAATCCTTTGCAACTCAGAAGAATGATTTCATCCAGAGTCATTGATAAATAAACTAAATACTCCTTATCCAACAACACTACTACACACTACACTTGGTGCAGCTCACCCTCGACTGTAGTGAAGCTTCAAGAAGGGGCTGATAACTGCTAAACACTATAATTTTAGGAGACCTTAGGGAGAAACATTTTGCAATTTGTGCACAAACTTAAAATAAATGCAAACAAACATTTAATTCAAAGCTTTTAATCAGTTGTCAGCCAAGTTTGGATTCAATAGGTATCTTGTGTACACTACAAAGTTACAAATAGTTATAACCTCTATGTATGACCCAGTAATTTCAATGCAAGTGTAGAATAAACTTACTTCCATAGAAGGTTATTGAGCAAATTATTTATATGAATGGTGCCTCTCCCGTAGAATTCTCAAATTGGAGTGAACCAAAATGAATGTGCAGTTAGCTACAAGGAAAATGCCAAACAAATAAAAGTTAAATAAATAGTAGAGGCATTATCAAATTTCATTTCATTAAAAGTATAAAACAATTCAGTACATTCAGGACAGAACGTCCCAATGGCTCTAAGTTGCTAAATGTGGTCACTATTGTTTTGTTGTAAGGGCTGCATAGGTTCTTCAAATCCTCTTCCTTTGCATACCAGTTTGGTATGATTTAGAAACATGGGGATATAGATCCTTGTATGAGTTTCTAATGGTTGCTTCTGCAACTCCAGTGGCAACTGATATATCTGCACCAACACAGTATAGGTCACACACGAATATGCAATAGCGCAGCAACTAACTCCTACGATAATGAAAAGCTTCATGCATATGAATATTCTTAAGAAACTTGTTTGCAATCAAATTTAATTCCAAATGCAAAGTTTGCTACATCAAAAACTAAGAAATCAGGTATAGAAAAATTAGGGAAACATATTGCTGTTCTAAACCAAATCATAGAGACATTTTCTCCTTGCTCTTCCCCTTGCCGCTACCGTCGTCCCTAATGTTGACGACGGAGTCGAGAGCGTCAAACGCGACAGCGTCTCTCCTTGGTGCGCATCAAATTGATGAGCGCGGAGACGACGTTCTCCTTGGTGTGCATGGTGGCAGTTGTGGAGACGTCGAGGAGGTCGGCGAGGACGCGGAGGGCAGAGGCCTTGTGGAAGGCATCGACAGCGGCGCGAGAGGCGGAACCCTACTCCTAATTTTTTTCATATCACTAAGGGTCAAAATGCACATACCTCTTTACGAACATGAACAGATTGTAGCAGAAACACAATGGCGATCAACAGTGGTGTAGTGACCACGATGGCGAACCTGGACGGAGACATGAGAGAGTGAAATAGCAGAGACGTCGTGAAAGAGAATACAATAGGGGAACGCGCGTGAGAGAAATAGGATTTTTAAGATCACTTATTAGAGCATCTACAATAAGCAACTTCCAACCACTTTAAATGGGTCCTACCGTGCCACGCCACTCATAAGCAACTCATACTACATTTTTACAATTTTTGCTCTAATAGGAATTGCTTATAAGCACTCTTACTTTTTACAACTCATACTATACTTTTTTGACACCTCACACTACACTTTATGATAAACTTTTATAAAATTAATTATTATGAATAATATATAAATATGAATAATTAACAAATTAAAAATTATAATAATAAAAATAAATTTATTGATAAAAAGAAATACCAAAAATTACAATAATAAAAAAAATTACATAATAAAGAGAAATTACATAATAAAAAGAAATACCAAAAATTACAACAAAATTAAATATAAAAATTAAATACGCACTAATTTTCGTTATTATGATGTCCAAATCGTTCCCAAATATGTTCCACCAAGTCGTGTTGTAATTGTCGGTGTTGCTGTCTGTCACGAAGATTTGCCCTCCTTTGTAAGTATGTTGCAGTAAAAATAGGATGAGGACCAATAGATATATCGGTAGTTGAGACTTCGTTACCACCATTATCATAATCAAAATTAATATTGTATGTGTGTCTTTCATCTTCAACTATCATGTTATGTAGTATGATGCATGCATACATGATATTCTTCAATGTATCAACACTCCAAGCACGTGCCGGTCCACGCACAATTGCAAATCGAGATTGCAATACTCCAAATGCTCGCTCTACATCTTTCCTTGCCGATTCTTGTCGTTCGGCAAATAATTTTCTCTTTTCTCCTTGTGGCATAGGGATGGTCTTCACAAATGTAGCTCACTCAGGATAAATACCATCAGCAAGATAATAACCCATATTATATTGGGTCCTATTTACTATGTATTGTACTGCAGGAGCTTGTCCCGACAAAACGTCATTAAACACATTCGAAGCATATAACACATTAATGTCATTATTTGAACCTGGGGTGCCAAAAAAAGCATGCCAAATCCACAAGTCTTGTGAAGCTACAACTTCAAGCATAATTGTGGGTTTGCCATGATCATCTCGACAAAATTGTCCTTTCCAAGCAACTGGACAATTTTTCCATTCCCAATGCATACAATCAATAGACCCTAACATACCTGGAAAGCCACGTGCATTCCCCATTTGAAGTAGTCGTTCAACATCTTCATTGTTAGGCCTCCTAAGGTATTCAGCTCCGAATATGTTGCACACACCGGATACAAATCTGTCTAAGCATTCCACAGCGGTGCTTTCACCAATTCGAACGTAATCATCTGTACTATCAGCACAGCACTTGATCCATATGCTAATATACGAATTGCAGCTGTGCATTTTTGTAATGGTTGAAGACCCTTCTTTCGAGTTGCATCAACCCTCATCTTGAAATAATCATCATAATGACCAAGGGCTTCTACAATTCTAAGGAAGACGTGCCTTTGCATTTGAAATCGTCGTCGAAAATGAGCATCTGTGTAAACTGAATTCTCAGAGAAGTAATCATTGAACAATCGATTGTGCCCTTCTTCACGACATCGATCAATCATCAATCTTTTTTTCCTTCGACGAGTAGTGTTGTCTTCAAGTACCAATCTCATTATACGTTCGTCAGTGTTGTCTTGAAGTTCCTCATCTATAACTTGCTCAAACAAAGCATCAAACTCTCTCTCAGAATCCATTTTGTGGAAAACTAAAGTCTCAACTTTAGAGAAAATAGGAAGCAACAAATAGACTTTGAGAATGAGATGCAAGAAATGTGTATCAATTATATAGTGTGTTAAAAAACGGCTAGTTTACAACGGCTAGTTTATAACGGCTAGTTTACAATGGCTAGTTTATAACGGCTAATTTATAACGGCTAGTTTATAACGGCTAGTTACAACGGCTAGTTTATAATGGCTAGTTTGCAACGGCTAGTTTATAACGGCTAGTTTGCAACAAATTAAATTCAATTACAATAAAAACTAGTCTAATTTGCATAAATTAAAATTAAAATAATATTTAATCTCTTAATTTGCGCCTAATAAAATTACAAGCCAATTCATGATCTTTGAGCTGCTTCTCAGTCATTACAGATGTGTCCTTCATGAGAATTTCATACATTGCACTAAAGTTAGCTGCTTCCTTCACTTCAGCCAATTTCTTTACTGCAGCACTTCTTTCTAACATTGCTTTTGTAATGTTCTCCAACTCCTCTTTGTTGGAAGATATTTCGCCAACCTTTCCTTTACTTTTTCTCTTCGCTGCTTTTTGACCTATTGGACGAGACATTGGTGTTGTTGGGTCATATTCTTCACAATCATTGGCTGCATTTGTGTTAGAAGATGTTGAGTATTGCCCAAATTTTGAAATCTTTGATCGTTTGGAAGAGCTCTCCATTGATTCTGATTTCCATTTTGGCTCATCTCTTAATAATAGTCATGCATGCTGAAAATTGAATTTTTCACCTACATCTTGCGAGTAAATTTTATATGCATTTGCGATGATGTCTTTTTCTGAGTTGCCATTTTTTTTTGATCATGAGCTTGTTTATAACATCCGAAAAATAATTGAACAGCTTTATTAATTCGAAACCAACGACTTTTTAACTGACCTGGATTTCTTACTGGAAATTGATTGCGATTGTTGTTGTAATTCTCCTTGATTCTAATCCAGAAACTATTTCCAGTTTGATCAACTCCAACAATTGGATCCTTCGAAATGTTGAGCCATGATTGAATAAGTAAATTATCCTCTTCAACAGAAAAACTTACACGTGATTTTTTTTGAGTAGATATTTCTTCTCCTTGTTGCCTTCCAACATCAAGTGTGATGTTCTCTAGCCCTACTTGAGACTCGGATACGGAACCAATTGGTGAATCTGTTTCGGAAAAATTTGAAGGCCTAAAATTTATATTGGGATTGGTTGGTATCGGTGGTGGATACATAAAAAAATGGGGATTTGGAAAATTATTATTGGTCGAATGTGGTGGTGGTGGTGGAAACATAAAAAAATAGGGATTTGGAGAATTATCATTGGTTGAATATGGTGGTGGTGGTGGGTATGTAAAAAATTGAGGATTTTGAGAATTTTCATCGGAAGGGGTTGGAGGTGGTGGTTGGTTTTGTAAAAAATTAAAATAACTTTGAAAATTAAATTGATTGGGATCCATGTGGTAGAATATAAAAAAAATTACAAATAAACAAAAAAAATAATTTTTTTGGATGCCAATAGTAAACGTGAATAGTAATTTTTTGAAATAAATTGTAAACTTGGATAATGAAATGTAAATTAACCGAACAATAGACTGCAAATAAACTACACAATGTGAAAAATAGAGTGCAACTGAACTGCTGAATGTGAAAAATAGAGTGCAAAAGAATTGAAAGTTGGACATCAATTTATACAAATTTCCAACGGCTCTTTAATGTCTCTCTTTCAACTCCAAGTTTTTTTTTTTTTCGTTTATCAACGTCTCTTTAACGTCTCTCTTTCAACTCCAACGTCTTTTTTTTTTTTTTAATTTTCGTTTATCAACGTCTCTTTAACGTCTCTCTTTCAACTCCAACGTCTCTTTTTTTTTTTCGTTTATCAACGTCCAACGTCTTTTTTTATTTATTTTCAAAGTCTCTCCAGCCATTGAGTATGCCCTCGGGCATGTCCTTCCAGAAGGAAAAGGAAAAGAAAGAGGGTGTGACTGTGAATGAAAGGGAAGGAAAAGGGGTGAATCTATCGGGAGGGATGGGGGCCTCGCTGTCCAACCTCGGAAGCAACGGTTCCGCCGTCGCTCCGGGCCTCGGCGACATCCCGGAGGGTTGTGTCGCTCGCGTCTTCCTCCACCTCACTCCGCCGGAGATATGCAACCTCGCGCACCTCAACCGCTCCTTCCGCGGCGCCGCCTCTGCCGACTCCGTTTGGGAAGCCAAGCTGCCTCCCAACTACCACGATCTACTCCTTCTCATGCCTCCCGAGAGGCACCAACATCTCTCCAAGAAGAACATCTTCGCTCTCCTCTCTCGCCCTGTGCCGTTTGATCACGGCTACAAGGTACGCTACGCTACGCCCCCCAAGGAGATGGACTGCACGGAAAGGCTGCGGGAAAGGAAGGCTGGGTGGTGGAGGAGGAGGGGCGGGTAGGGGGCAGCGACGGGAGGGCTTGCCAGGTGGCGGAGAGAGGGTCGTAAGCGTGGAAGTGCAGTGACGGGCTGTGGGGCGGGGCGAGCAGCGCGTAGAGGCAGTTGAAGGGTGGGAAGGTGGGGCTGTAGAGAAGGCGATGCCATGAGTGGGAGAGTGTGAATAGCAGCGTTGGAGGCACTGGAAATCTTCTTTTTCATAAACGTGGTCCACGTAGATAAATTTCAACCAATAAAATTGTTGTTGTCAGTACTAAGGAACGTCGCTTGTACAAGCAATTCATAAAAAAATTTAAGAAACCCAGCTGCCATGTAGGACAAGTCCAACGAGAATTTTTTATAAGGAACGTTGCTTAACCTTAAGGAACCCATTACGCACCCTCCGTTGGAGGTGCTCTTAAAGAACCATACAAAATCCGTTCTTAGAGAACCGATCTTAAAAATAGGTGCAAGACATGCCTTTTTAAATCGCATTTTTAATAAATGATTTTGTATACTATATACAAAATTAGTGCTAATATAACTAATTTTAAAATTATTAACAAAGAAACCTTTTAAAATCGGTTAAATGATAACCGATTTTAAAATATCTTTTAAAATTAGTTAAAATTTAACTGATTTTAAAAGTTATGACATTAATTACAAAAATGTCACCGCATTATTTTTAAAATTGGTTCCTACTTAACCGATCTTAAAACCCCGATGTTAAAAGTTATTTTTGCACTAGTGTGAGTTGTGTTATTCTTTAAGTGCCTGTGAATTATGTGAAAACCATTATTTATAGAGCAATATGAATTTTAAATTTTTATTATGAACATAAGATGCTATGAGTGAGTCATATGTATGATTGATTATGTATTGAGTGTTATGATTATGAATCTATTATTACCTATTAATTATATGATAACCCTTGTTTATAGAGCAATATGGATTATGTACATTTATATGAGCATGAGATGCTATGAGTGTGTCGTGTGTAGGATTTATTATGTATTGGGATATTATTAAATTAATGTGATGAAGTTATTAGGATGTGACGATGTATGCTATGATGAATACTATGGTGAGATGAAATGGAAAAGTGTAGTGTTGGGGACTAACACTTGAGGAGATGAATTATGCATACTATGTTGTTGTGATGTTGTATGGAGTCCATACAAACATGATTTGTTTTGCGAGATAGTGTGAGTGTATGCAAATGGAATATTATAGGTCATCTATCTATGCTCTAGAGTGTTATGGTGGGAATGAAAGGCTACCATGGCTAGATATAACACTTTAACAGGATCCTGATAGACACCCTTTAGTGAGGTGGTTGGGGAGAAATCATTGTTGCAAAGTGGTTCCTACACTATTTAACGAGGTGGTCTTGTTCCATTACTTTTAGGCTACTCTGTACACTTGATGATGAGTAGGAGATTGGCAACACATGCATAAAAAGTTAGGAGCATACATCTCATGAGTCTTAGTTGATGAATATGTAATGTTTCTGATTGATGGAACGATGGTGATAGATGGAATGTCATGTATTAAACTGTTATTAATATTGTATGAGAGAATTGATGAAGGTGTATAAGATGTAATTATTGTTTGATTAGTGTGTGTCTATCCTTATGCTTTGTATATGTTGTGATGAATAAGATATATTCTCACTCTCTATGTTTGTATGTTTGTGTTTGGGTTGATAACCAATTGTAGAAATAGAACAAGTATAAGATGATAGGTTTTAGGAAAGAGAATAAAAAAAAGGGTATTGTGTGACACCCTCTACCCCACATGGCATAATGCAATATAAAATTCAATAACCTCATTATAATAAATAAACTCAAAGTTCACATAGGTAGAAAAAATCACATTTTAATATATACTAGACTTAGTGGAAATAACAATTACAACGAAAATAAAAAATTAAACTAATCTAAGTAAATAGCAAGAATCAAATGTTAACTAGTCCTAACTAACTAATTCCCCAATAAAACGTGTCCTATTAGAGAAAAACCCAACATTAATGACTAAGCCTCGTCACCAACATCCTCAGTACCATGTTGATGATTACCTGAAAAAAACTCACAAGAAGACAACAAAAAAAAGGGAGTGAAAAATATCTCACTCTGGCTCATGGTATAGGAATGCAAATCGACTAGCCAAACTCAAACAACACATACAACATGATATAGCATACATAGTTAAACAGCATCATATTTAACTTATTCATAGCATAGTAAGCAACAACAAGTAAGATTATAATGTATATGCAACGGACACGAACATGTTATCATGCATGTGGTACCAGTAAAAATATCACATATTATACTTGTGCATTATTTCTAGCAACACACTGAAGTAGTCTAGGAGTACATGTCGGTCACACTCTTTGCGCACTATCACAAAAAAGACATACTACCAGGGTTTGGTCGGGAGAGCTGAGTTGTGCAACATACATCCCATGCTGAGTTGGCTCCCAAACATTTACACAAGGGACCTTCTCTAATGGTGTATTCCATATTGTACCCTTCAAAAAAATATTTGTATGCACATGATGCATGTCAAACACACTCTATGCATAATATTTCACACGATCTCATTAATTCATTGTCAACTAATCCTATATCATGAAATCATCAACCATTCTCAATATAAAAATTAATAGTTCATCTATATCAATTAAATATTAGCAATCAATGGCATAAGGGATCACATCACTACAACTCATACATAGCTCACAAGTATATCAATAGCACTCTCACATACTACAATATTTTCAAAACTTAATCTTTTATGATATCACATGGTCCAAACACCTTAGTTAGAGCTATATATGCACTATTAAGTTGATCTTAATTTTATTATAAAGCTAAGACAATTAATTATCTTCAATTTCTATGTCGACCTCAAGAGCTAAATATGTTATCTACTATTTTAAATAAATACAAAACTACAACATTTTAGCCTAAATCTAATAGCTTGACCTTTTCTCACTAATTTGATCATAACTTTAGTTCTAGACCTCCCTTTTAGATGATTCCAACAACATTTGAAAGCTAACATCCAAGACTTTTTTGAAGATCAATAAACTTAATTCTATCATTTAAGTCTACTTGAAAGGCTTACAACGTATATACGTTACATTTCGTGCATAGAATATAAAGTTCATCTTTTAACTCACTTAACTTTGTCATTCCTTGACATTTTTATTTGATTCTTGAGTCTAAACTATAGCTCCAAATGTGTGTTTTCTAACCTAATAATTGGAACTCAATTTCATTAATCACACATAGAGAAACAACATAAATACCAAAATATATTCATACTAGGATTTTTAAAACAAGGCACAACTCATGCCCAAACTCTTTTCTCTCAATCTAATTAGTAAGAACTCTCCATAGGTTACACTACACTTCTAAAAGACATAATTTACATATACAACTACTATCACTTCACTATCACCACAACAAGTTCCCTTAGGGTTTCTCACGGAAACCCACAAGAGCCTCAAATCGTACAAATTTCCATCCAAAACATGAAATCAATCATTCATTCAAATAATTCATGCAATTAATTATGAGTGAAAAGAATAGGGTACTAAACAGAAACATTAAGGGAAACCTCTCATACATAAGCACACAACATACATCAGATTGGGGGTCAATCCCACTACCTAACATACAAACCCACACCTAGAGCAAGGTCTCTCACTTCCCCCCTCACCTGGATAAGATCTAGATGACAGGGCACGGCTTAAGAGTGATTTCCTTCCTTCTCTTATTCTTTGAGCTTTGAAGTGCGTACATGAAAATAAAGGCGTAAAAAAGGTTTTATCAAAAAACTTCTCTTTGAAAAACCTTAACCTTCTTTTAATTGTCTAGTTAAATATACTAACTATAGTTATCCTGAAGATTCCTTCCCTTATTAGTATTATATTATTCTTTAATAAAATATTATATAATATATTCTAAAATATATTACATAATTAAAAAATATATTAAATATCCCCAATTAATAAAATAAAAATACCAAAATTATTAATAAAAGACTTATATATTTTATGAAAAATGGGGTGTTACATCTTGCTCTGATAATGTGACATTGGGACCAAGTTTTAGGATTAATAGATTTTTTATGTTGAATTTTATATTAAGTTATTTTTTATTAGAACTTATTTGATACAATAATATATTTTTATTTCTTTTTAAATGATACTTTATATGTTTTATTAAGAACAATATGAACCTTTTACAAGCTTATGAGAAGTATTATTACAATATTTTATTTTTTTGAATTTTTTTGTTATATTTCATTTGTTAAATTTTTGGGGGTAAAGGGTGTCACAATATTTAGAGGAGTAGTTATGTTTTAATTTAGACTATATTATTATGTTTTCTTTTACTTTATTTGAATTGAGTCACTGTCGAGTTATATAGGCTTAGAAAAGTCTTTAAGATCGTGCGATGAAGTTAAGTTGTTATATCATCAATCCAATAGTTGATACCTACTACCAAAATATTTGTAGCCCTTAGAGTTTTACAAACTCATAAGATATATTCGTTTGGAATGCAAATGAGAACAAGGGAAAATGTGTGACACCCTTCCACCCCAAGGATTTAATAAATAAAATATAATAAAATTTTTAGAAAATTAAATGTTTACAATAATACTTCTCATTAATTGGTAAAAAGGTTCACATATTTCATCAATACTTAAAACAAAAACTTATAAAGCATTATTGTAAAGGGAATAAAACATCTCCTTAAATCAAATAAGTTCTACTAATAAAGCAGCTTAAAAGAAACCCAACTTAAATTAATGCTAATCCTATAACTTAACCTTGATGTCACACTTTCAAAGCAATATTCCTATTTACTTTTCTCTTTCCTTAAATCTATCATCTTATACCTGCTTTATTCTTACAAATGACATTCAAACCAAACACAAACATACAAATATAGGGATTGAGAATACATCTCAACTATTAATAACATTGTATACATTTTCGTCGATCCTCTCATTCAATATTAATAACAAGTTGACATATTACACTCCATTTATCACCATCATTCCATCAATTACAATACATCATATTCATCAATTAAGACTTATGAGATGTATACTCCTAACTCTACATGTATGTGATACCAATCTCCTTCTCATCATCAAGTGTAAAGAATAGCCTAGGAGTAATGGAACGAGACTACCCTATCGAATAGTGTTGTAACATCGTGAAGTCTACTAATATAATTGTTTAATTATTATTTTTTTA